ATAAATTATTGATTGATTCAGAGCGAAATGAATATATGATTCCACAAGATTTCATAACTATCGTTTCAGAGTCGTAAGCCCCCCCCCCCCCCCCAGTGGCACAGCGGTATGTCTGTGGACTTACAACGGTAGAATCAGGGTTTTGATACCCATGGTGGGCAGAGCACAGATAGCCCATCGTGTAGCTTTTTGCTTAACTTCAAACAAGGAATTAGAATGTAGAATACTTATTAAATTCAATAAAATTTATCTTGTATATTTATTTATTTTTCTCTTTTTTGTTACTTTTTAACTGGTGCATTTAGAAAAGTCTGACTCATCAGCTGGTTCTAATTTATTTAATATCAGACAACCCGTTTTCATTATCCTTCGAAATTTATGAGAAATTATGAGAGCTACAGTTAATTGAGAAGGCGAAAAAATATCAAACAGTGAAAAAAATAATGTATCTTAATAACCTATGGCCAAATCAAATAAGTATTAATCTTAATCAGTCGGAGATGTATTTATCCAACAAGATGGATTTGCTAATCTGTGCAGCCTACTTGTCTCAGGTGGACTGTTTAATGAGTGAGATAGGACGTAATGGTTAATCTATATACAAATGAACCAGACACTGTGTGCCATCACTCTAAAACAAACGATGTAATAACACTTCTGCTCAATTTGGTATATTACAGACCTATTCTATAATAGCAGTTACGGCAATGGTCAAATGATTCAGGCACACTGTGTAAAACCAGGTGTTCGTATTCACAAAGGTAAGTTACATAGGTTGACATACATATACTTTGCCAGACAATTTGTAGCAAATAACAAAAGCGAACGTATTACAAATAGGCTTTGTGAACGCGTTTCATCAGGTATTGTAAAATGATCAATATATGGGACAGAGAAATAAAATGATCAATATATGGGGCAGAGAAATCGAACACGTTTTTAGAAAGTATTTATTTCTAGGATGGCAGTCTGACAAGGAAATAAAAATGATGCTGTAATGTCAAAACTGTAACATTATGTTTAATTAAGAGTTTGATTAGAATAAACTGTAAACAATTACTGCAATATTAAGTTAACATTATGTAAACATTACTACAAACATTACTACAAACTAGAATAAACGCCGTCCTATGATTATTTTTCTTGAAAAGTTTTTTTTTTGGTGTACTAAACTTGAAGATAGCTTTTATATACGGAACATCTGTTAGTTGAGTTCTTGCACAGATTTTAAAATATAACGTTGATAAACGGAAACATCGGCACATATAGATACGTAGATCTTGAAAGTCGAATTGTTCAAAACTTGAAAATAGCGTTCATAACTGGACCAATTGTTGGTTGAGATGTTGCAAAAAAATATTTTTCTGGGAAGTACTGCACGGGAAAAGTGTTCGGATAGTGCTCGTTAGTCATACGCAACTTATTACATAGAAATGATTCAATGTATAGAGCCTAAAAGTTTCATACATTTTACTGATATAAACTGTAATGTTTTAAAAGTGGTATTGTTGATAGAAAAATAATACTTTTCTAAGAACTCCAGTTTCCATTACTACATTTAAAAATTATATAAATAAAGATGCAATCAAACCCTCACGTTCAGTCCTAGTGAAAGTCGTGTTTTTGTTGTAAGGAGAGCACTTATATTTAAAATTGTGTTCTGTTATAAAAAAAAATGGTTGTTGCACATATCAGTTATTTTTCTAAGTGTCTGAATCGTGAATACTCAGAGTGTCAAATTTTATATGGATTTGTGTTAATGGTACCATTCAAATGATTGTGCAGGAGTTTTGGTTACATACATAGATACTGACGTACACGCTACGTTCATTATAGGAAGATGTAGATATTATATCGACCAGTACTATATGTCTTTTTTTTCGTATGTTGTATTTCTTTATGTACTCTGATATGTGCGTTTGTGTCCCTCACATGGTGACTGGAAGGGAAGGTGAGGGCTTGTAACGCTTAAATTAGAGATTCGATATAGCAGTTGGCAAAGCGCAGATAGCCCAGTTTAGCTTTATACTTTAAAATAATGAAAAATGTGTACGTTTGTAATGCATAAACGATCACAGTGCTTTATGATTTCACGGTTCATGGTTCGCGTCCCGCTATTTGAGGACGTGGTTTCATTATAAAAGTGACGATCAAATATTACTATTCGATTAAAATAAACCAAGACTTGGCAGGATGTGCTGTTGAATAGCTGTCCACCCCCTCCAGAGATAACTAGTGTAAATAACACTTGTGTAGCTTTTGCTCAAATACCCGAAATAAATAAATAAACGTACCATGATTAATGTTACACTAGTATATTAAACTGAAGACAAAACAAACCTGATAACTTAAGTAAACATAAATAAAGGATTCAACAAGTTTCCTTTAGATTTATATTTTACAAAAATGTTTCTAATTACGTATTTGCGATCACTGCGTATGAAACAATATATGTATAACGTGTATTAAAGATATATTTAACTTCACGAAATGAAATGATAGGGTTACTAACTTCTTGTTCTCAACACTAGGTTTGCTAGCGTTTTAATATTCGCCTTGAACTCAAATTTGGCAGGAAGTAAAAGCCACTTGATTCAAATATTTAAGATATTTGCTTAATAAATTGTTGTCGTTTGATATCTCTAAGTTAAGTACATTTAACAGTTGTCTTTTTCTCAGCTTAGAATGCATGAAATAAACTAACCAATATACCTCAAAGTGATTCTTCAAGTTTGTATATTGGCAGTTATACCACTGATCAGAAACTAAGTGTTCTTCAAGTTTGTATATTGGCAGTTATACCACTGATCAGAAACTACGCTAAATGGCATAGCCCTTTGATTAATTATCATCTAGATCAGTAATAATAAATAATAACTTTTAGACCATAAATATGCTTAAGTTACTGAAGAGAAGAGTTTTTGGATTCATCTCTGGAGTTTATGGATACTTCTTTTTTGTACATTATGCATCACAGGGTTCAGTGATTTTCCCGACTAATATTTATAGATATTTTGGGAGCCCTTTTGTATTTGTGTATGAAAACAACAAGTTCACTCTTTATATTTCGAAGTCCAATCTCGTTCTTTAGTTATCGTCATTAATTCGTTATTAATTTAAATATATATCAAAAACATAGATTCACAAGTTCTGTATTTCTCGTTTTTATACACTTTAAGAGCATTTATTATGTGTTTGCATTACTAAAACCAAATATTGCATGCTTTTAAAACATAGACATACATTAGACTTACTTACATAGACCTAAGAACATTAGATTATATACAGGAATCTATAATATTTTGTTGTGTGTGTGTGTGTGTGTGTGTGAAGTAATATGAATTAAACTCTCGGCATCTATGTTCCTAAATAGCGCTCGATCGTAAAAAAGATAGCTATTTTACGAAATACAAATAAATACAGAATATTATATACCAATACAACAAACGTTTACTATAAGATCTATTGTTCACAGAGGCAATGTGAAAATAGAAAAGTCAATATTATATTGGTAATATTATATAGTATGGTAGCGAACAGAACCTTAGTTTCCTTACAGGGTAGTTTCATAACTAACCACGAACTTACTCTTCTATCACTTTTCAGGCTATTCATTAACGGTGTTTCCACAGAGTAACCATCCAACTCCTCCTCTGTCTCCATCCCTGGACATGATCGAAGATTGTGGCTCCTCTGGTGGTCAATATTTGCATATTCCGTATGCTCTACGTCTGTATTTCTCACCAGCTGTGTTTTAGTTTCGGGAAGAGACAGTACGGAATACATGAGTTCTTCCTGTGTAAGAAATAGGATGTTGAATACATGAAAGGTTTATTTACAACACCTTAGAATATACAAAAAATAAAATGAAATCTCTTTCCCGCATTTTCTTTTCAGAAACATTACAGTAAAATGTGGATGTCTTAAGAGTTGCACGCTACATCCAAATCAATCATTTTTTTCTCAATCTTTGGCATGTCACGAAACGTCTTGTCAAGACGAAATGACGATACTTTAGCAAACACGATATTTCATGACTGGACAGTGTTGGGAATTTCTAAAGGTACAAAACCGAAAAAAAACAAAAAAAACATTTCTTATGTATTGAAGAGAATCGAAACTTCAATGACTTCCTAATGATTTTATTACATTTGGTTAATTTCAATAAATTCTCAACATACTTTGAATTGGAAGTTTCTTACATAAACGTGTCTGTGAGACTTGACTGACCTGATTTGGAAGAAATTCCTGTTGAGCTATTACATTTTCATAGGTTCGATCCCTTTCAATCCTCAGGTTTTCATAAATCCTCTGGTTTCCTAGGTCAGCCATCTTAATTGCTGGGTTCATCACCATATCATCAAACTCAGTACCTGTGCCATTACAAAGGAAAAAATTAAGAAAGACCTATATTAATACCATTGGAAGCGATATGATATTGCTAAAGTAAATGTAAGTGTAAAAATATTACACAGTTATTTAAAAACATTTTATTGCACATTGGGTATATGTTTTGGTCACCTTTTGTCTGCCTCCAGCTTTTATTTTCAGTTAGTTATTCATTTTAATGGGAGAAGGGAGATTTTTGGAATAGATGGTTCACGTTTAAATTATGTAGGGGTTGATTTGTTTGCGAGGGCTATTAACTCAGCTGCACAGGAAGTTTTAAACTAGGACTAGACAGTGGTGTGAGCCAGGATAAGTTAAGCGCAAAAAATAAGATGTAGAGAAAAGTTTAGCATAGGAAATGAGTATAGAACTAGTTATAAGGATAGGCTTAATTGTTATTATTGTAATGCTAGAAATATAAGAAATAAAATAGATCTCTTTAGAGAGCTGGTAGGAATGGAGGATTTTGATATAATCGGAATAACTGAAACATGATTAAATATAGATGATTTTTATGACAGTAATGTCTTTAAAATACAGGGTTATGGGTTACTTAATAGGGATAGAGTACTAAAGAGAGGGAGAGGAGTGGCTTTATATGTAAAATTGAGTTACATCCTGTTGGACTTGAGGATATCAAAAATATTAGCAAGGAGAATGAATCCAGTTGGGTTTCTTTGGTGGATATAATGGGAAAAGGCTTTTAGTGGGAACTTCTTACAAACCACCAGATGATAATGATGAAATTAATGAGAAACTTTACAATGAGATTAAGATTTCAGCTGTTAATGAGGTCATAATTATGGGTGAATTTAATATCAGACATATAGATTGGGAAACGTTAGAGTCAAGCCATGAGAGAGAAAGGTTTTTGAAAACTGTTCAAGATGGTTTTCTTTACCAATTAGTCAAGGAATCGACTAGAAACAATGCTATTTTAGATTTATTGTTGACTTCTAATATAGAAATGGTTGAGAGGGTGGAAGTTGGAGAACATCTGGGTGCAACTGATCATTGCTCTACTAGGTTCGATGTTTTGCTGCATATGGAGATCACGAATAATGATATTTATGTTACCAATTTTAAAAAGGCAAATTTTAGAAGGATTCGATAAGAATTATTTGCTGTGAATTGGGCAACTGATTTGTTTGGAAACACTGATCAATTGTGGAAATTTTTTAAAGATAAATTTTTAAATACTCAAGAAAAACATATTCCATATAGAAAGAAATGGGTGGCTGAAAATAAAAACAGGTTGACTCACAAAGGGTATAAGATATAAAATTAAAGAAAAACATCACAAATTTAAGAAATTTAAATTGAAGACGGAAGATTTAGAAGATTATAGAATATTAAGAAAGTTGATGATACAGAAAATTAGGACATCAAAAAGGATGCATGTCAAAAGTTGGCTGAAAATGTAAAAATTAACAGTAAGAATTTCTTTAAATATATTAAGGGTAAACAAACTTTTAGGATGGAATAGGACCTTTGAGGGATGATAAAGGAAGGCTGGTATCAAATGATTATGAGATGACTGGGTTATTAAACCCTGCTTTTTCTTCCGTTTTTAATAATGATTTTTTTAAGGAATATTCCTCATTTTTGAACAGTTGCTAAAAGGAAACAAGATGTTAATTCTGAGATTATTAAAAATAATTGGGAAGTTTAAAGAACGCTAAGGCTCCTGGGCCAAATAATATTTCTCCAAGGGTTTGAAGGATTTTAAGTACTAGATATGTGAGCCACTTGCTAATATTTATTGTAAGTCCTTGAAAAGTGGGCAGATGCCAGAGGATTAGAAGTTGGCTAATGTTACTCATCTTTCCAAGATAGGAGATAAAAACGTTCCAGTAATTATAGGCCTATTAGTATTACATCAATTGTGACAAAAGTTTTGTAAATTTTGATAAAAAGATGTTTTGTAGAGTCGTTTAACAAAGTTTGGAATTTTATTGGATAGTCAACATGGTTTCACTAAGAGAAAATCTTGCCTCACAAATCTTTCGACACATTTTGAAAAGGTTACTGTTTATATAGATAAGAGAAAAGGTGTAGGTTTTGTGTATCTGGGTTTTCAGAAAGCATTTGACAATGTTCCACAGGGTTCTTATAAATGGAGTTCAGTCAAACTGGATTAACGTCACAAGTGAAGTATCTCAGGTCTCAGTCTTAGGACCTTTGATCTTTTTGATTTACATCAATGACATAGATGAAAGAATTGTCAATAAGTTACCTAAATTTGCTGATGATATGAGGGTTTTGGGTGTTTCTGGCTGTGAAAAGGATGCTGCTGCTTTACAAATGATTTAAATCATTTAGTTAGTTGGACGAATAAAAGGCAGTGGGTTTTAATTATACTAGGGAACACATATATAAATTTTGGCAGGGTAGGAGTCATCTTCAGCTAATAAAGTTTTATTTTTCAAACGGGTTGGTAAACCTTTGGAACGGGTTGCCTTCAGATGTTGTGAAAGCACTAAACTTAAGTGAGTTTAAGAGAAAGTTTGATAACTATAGGAATGATAATAGCTGGCTTTGAGTTTTTTTAATAGTTTTAGTTTATTTTAGAGGACGGGACAGTCTACATGGACCAATAGTCCCTTGCCCTTTGTTGTCCCTAAATATTGTTATGTTATATGTTTTGATCATCTTTTGTCTGCCTGCAGCTTATATTTTCATTATATTAGGTATATGTTTTGATCAGGTCTGCCTACAGATTATATTTTTATTAGATCGAGTTTATATTTTCGTCTACCTGCAGCCTATATTTTGATTCTATAAAAACAAAGTTTAGCTTACAATGATAGCTTGTTACCTTGAACGTAGCATACCCTACAAAGGTAAATCTTCGTGGTGTAACTACGTTGGAGAAAATTTCTCTAAATTTACTAGTTGTACACTTTTACTATTTTTTTAATGTAGATGTCTTATTAAATACTGATTTTATACGTGTCAAACATACTTGGCTATTTGTACGTGAGACACATTATTTTCTGAAAATTGAGTCTTATTTCAATTTGATCTAATCTTATTCCTTGTAGAGTAGAAGCTCTAACCAGTTTCAGTTTTAATTTCTTCAAATAAAACACCCAAGTATGTTAAATATTAGGTCGTCAAAAATTAGTGTCGCTTTTTTTTTAGATGAAATAACCCGGACAACTTATATATCAAAACAAAACATTTATTAAATGAAATAGTATCCATTCTTATCAATGATGCTTTTCCATCTTACAATAAGGTTGTTAATGCTCTGATTAAAGAAATCACTTGGTTTTGAAGCACAAAAACATACCGATGTCCTCTTTAACACCTTCCA